GCTTCATCACTGTGTCTGTCACGCGACTCTGTTCCCCTTTCGGGCTCTGTCTTTACATTTATGTTGAAAGATGAAGCTCTCGATTATGGTAAGGGGCGTTACATTTCCGACGAGTGCTTGCGGTGTTCGGCCAATCACAATGCACTGGGTCAGCTGGCCAATCAGAGCAGACTGCGCTTGTCGGAAGGAGGGACTTTGTAGAAAACGAAGCGTTTGAGAGAGGCGGGGCATAGAGGACCTACAATAATGTACAGTATTTGAAAAATAATGTGTTTTTTGAACATTAAAGCATGTCAACATATTCTGTTACACAGGGGCGGATTTAGTGAATTGGGGGCCCTAGGTAAAATATAAGATTGGGGCCCTATACATTTTCACACATTTTCCTAGATCAACCAAATTTTTTAAACTCATATACATATACATATGTCAAGAGCATGCTCACAGATGATAACAAAACAGTGTTGGATGAAGTGGACATAGAGCCCTGCGGGTCTCAAGCCCGTCTTTTTCCCCTTTTCCCAAAAAAAGCTTATACTACTGTTTCAGCTATTAAAATAGTTCAGTTTTGTATGTAATGGAAACGTGATTATATTTAGTTTAGTTTTTTTATAAAGTAAATTTTAAAAACCGTTTGGAGCATTTTTTGTTCGTTAATATGTACGTTTTTTTTAAGTAAAGGCCAGCGGCAGACAGTGAATTGATCATAGCCTATATGTTTGGTCAATTTAGCCTTCTCAAATCATCAGGACGTGCCTAAAATAAAATCTATATATAAAACAGGTCAAGCATATCACAATGTTAGTTTAAATGTTTAACCTAGATAAATGTGCGCTGTTAGACTCATATCCAATCGTTTGTGCGGAGAGTTGAAGCTAAAGCGCGCTCAGCAGCACATGGAGGCGCCAGCGCGATCACTTGCATTTTTTTCTAACAGTGGAAACAACTTAATACGCAGTCATTTTTGCTCATAAAGGTAAGAATAATGCATCATTCCAAACTATAAAGGGGCTAGTTTTATTTGTGTGCACTCACAATATCAACAAAACGTTGTGCTTTTATAAAATAAAGAAAACAAACGCTACCATCTCGGGCTTGAACAGGAGTGCATCACAATGATGAACCTAAGCTCCGCGAATTGCCTCACAGACATGATAAAGCTTTAAATTACTACTTCAAAACGAAATAATTCAAATCAAAAATAGAAACTCTTTCATTATGTAATCCGTGCATTTCTCTCTATCCAATGAGGAGACGGCGAGTAATTTTTTTAATCGCCATAATTGATGCATATCTAAAATATAAAAATAAGGAAAAGCCTAAAACAGGCCCGATTATAATTTGCCTTTTATATTTATAATTATAATTCCGTACAATAAAAAAATAAAACCAATTATAATGGCATATGTGTAAAACTTTGTAATATAATTGTATAGCTGCTTTTTCAGATTTTTATATTGCTCTGTTCTGAATACCTGAAAATTTTAAGGATTTGCTGCAACGCAATTTTGTCTGATATGCAAATTATTTATTAGCCCATTTTTTTTACCCATGTAGCAAATGCTTTAAAAACAGCTTTAAAATTACTTTATTGCATTCCAGATGCTTTTATAGTACTTTTCACTATAAATTTTACAGGTAGCTTGAATATAAACTGTCATGAATTCATTGTATTCCCATTTGTAAAATAGCCAACAAATGAATTGGTGTAGGCTAACCCGATCTCAGGAAAGTGCATAGTATTGCACGATTTTCTGCTTCTTTGGCATAATATTTCTATGCAGAAATTGACTTTGGCATGCAAAAGACTGATAAATTCATAATTAGTGGCATGGCTGGTTCAGTCGCCAGAAATATGGGACACACAGGCCTATGATAACTGCTGAAATGTTTGCGGGGCAAATCTGAGGTCAGTCTGAGCGCTCATGGTACTCACAGTGCCGTACACTCTTAAAAATAAAGGTGCTTCAAAAGGTTCTTCAAGCGATGCCATAGAAGAACCATTTTTGGTTCCATCTCTTTCTTACCTTTTTGTAATCTGAAGAACCTTCTTTTGCCACAAAGAAGCTTTTGTGAAACAGAAAGGTTCTTCAGATGTTGAAGGTTCTTTATGGAACCATTTAGACAAAAAGGTTCTTCTATAGCATCGTGAAGCACCTTTATTTTTAAGAGTGTGCACCTGCAGGCGCCACAGTCTCGGACGGTTGTCGTGGTAATAAACACCGTAAACAGCATTCGTTCGCGTGTTAGCGCTTAATGCGCATATCCTATATGAAAAGCATTTTAGGGGGCCCTTGGCTTTTGGGGGCCCAAGGCGGTCGCCTACCTTTGCCTAATGGGTAAGTCCGCCCCTGCTGTTACACCAAATACACAAAATAATGATCTTTAAAAAAGCATCATATGACCCCTTTAATAGAAGTAAAATGTTGATTCAGTAAGAGCCCGATTAAAGATAAATATTAGTGTCTTATATAAATTAGGTGTGTATTATTTACAAATATTAAAGTTGGGCTGGAACAACCTGGAAGTCATGCAGACTACTTGAAAAATAATCTGTGTTCTTCTATAGCATCGTGAAGCACCTTTATTTTTAAGAGTGTGAGATTGTGCACCTGCAGGCGCCACAGTCTCGGACGGTTGTCGTGGTAATAAACACCGTAAACAGCATTCGTTCGCGTGTTAGCGCTTAATGCGCATATCCTATATGAAAAGCATTCTAGGGGGCCCTTGGCTTTTGGGGGCCCAAGGCGGTCGCCTACCTTTGCCTAATGGGTAAGTCCGCCCCTGCTGTTACACCAAATACACAAAATAATGATCTTTAAAAAAGCATCATATGACCCCTTTAATAGAAGTAAAATGTTGATTCAGTAAGAGCCCGATTAAAGATAAATATTAGTGTCTTATATAAATTAGGTGTGTATTATTTACAAATATTAAAGTTGGGCTGGAACAACCTGGAAGTCATGCAGACTACTTGAAAAATAATCTGTTGACCAATTTTAGAGTGCACTGTATTGATATTACATTATTATTTTTATTTTTTGGTGGTGGTGGGACAGGGGGTTGGGGGACGACTGGGTAATATTAACCCCTTTTTTTTCTTTAGGACTACACCACTGACTCTCACCATCTATTGGTGTGATGATGCAACCTGAAAAAGCATTGAAAAAGATCCCGACAGCCTATCTGGAACAAACACAGACGAGGGGAAAGCCGCTGTTGTTTATTTTGTGATTTCCTGGACATTATACATTTTATTACAAACACAAGTTTTATATCTTGAGGTCTATTAAATAACTCTACAACAGCATAATAGCATTCGAAGATATGCGGCGGCTTAATGTTCTGCACATTCACTCTTAAACATATCTCTATTAATGCAACACATACCGGTTTTACAGTATAAAGTATAAAAACATTACACCATTGGCCGTGGATAGAATGTTTGGTGCAGTTTGAGACGAAGAACTGTTGGGCCTAAAAGGTCACTATTTTGAGTGTTGTTAGGAACTGCCTGATTTCCGCCCCGCATAAGATCCCGGATGTGACGTCGCAAAGTCCCAGCGCCCTCACAAGCATGGCCGCGCGCAGGAGCGTCGGTGCTGGACGGAGTTTATCTGCACTTCTAACGAGATCGTGAGTCGTTACCGTGCTATGCTGCTGTGCGTTTCTGTGTCAGTGAGGGCTTATATGTAACGGCCGTCAGGTGCTTAGAGTTGCGTGAAGCATTTGCGTTACAAAGAGTTTCGTGATAGTCAAAGTCACTGGCAAGGTCTCATGACGCAGATGCAGACAAACAATATCACGAATATTCATAAGTTAATACACCGTTTTATACACTTTTGAACATATTTCTGGACTGGCCTCTGGCAAAGTTAATGCAAAAGTTGCTTATTTCAAACCTCCCGTTACAAAAACGACTATGGTGAACAGAATCTTTAAAATATTATAGCTGAAACCTTAAAAACCACAATAATAACGGAGTGTTTGTCAAGCATGGAACCTAGCTTTAACGCCAACATACCTTTTATTTGACTAAGTAGTAGTAATTTATCAGAAACTGTATAATTTATAATATAAGAACAATACGCTATATTAATATACTGTTATTATAAAGTATTATTATGTTAGTGAACATAACAATACTTTTTGTAAAGGCACTTCTTCTATGTTATTGTAGGACATATCAGAAAAATGCCCTATTATGAAAATCTGTACCGTTTGAATGCATTATAATGCACTGTGTTCAAAGGTATCCTGTGTGCAGTTACCATGGGACAGGGCTCACCAGGCCACCCCTTCACAAAGTGGCCAGAAGTCCCATTCCACAGCAAACAGCCGCTGTGTTTAGTAAGTGTTTGCATGATTCAGGTCGCATGTTACTGTAACGTGTTTGCTTGGAATGGATCGTAACATTTCTTTCGTCTCATCAAGTCAGAAACATGTTCATTCAGACCCAAGACACTCCGAACCCAAACAGCCTGAAGTTTCTTCCTGGGCGTGTGGTGCTGGAAGCAGGGACTATGGACTTCGCTGGACCTAGAGATGCGTATTGTTCACCCCTGGCACGGTAGAGTTTGTATTTCAGCCAGAGTACACACTTTTTGCACTGTATTTTATTTTCCGATTAATATTGTTAATGTATTATCAGTTATAATTCATATTAAGATCTACAGGAGAAGTTATTCTTTTTAACAGTAAGAAATCTAGAGTCAATTTAAGTGATTTCTGCACCAGTAGTGACACCAGACACATTTCTCATGGTGATTGTCTGTTCAAAAGTCACTGCACACTATCATAGGTGTTCATGGTGGATGTTTATGGATCCAAATCCTAGGAACCTGTTCATAATTCTTTATCATATTCTGGTCAGATTGGCTCGAACCTAGCTGACAGGAAACATAATCAACCATTTTTACTTCATAATTTGAATGGCACCACAAATGTTATTTTCTTGATGAGGTTAATTTGAAATTCTGAATCTATATTTGCATCATATAAATAGTGCAGTTATGCTTGTCACATGGCGCAGTGATAGTTGCAGGGGTTGTTTTGTTAGTAACCGTTCCAGATATGTGTAAAATATGTACATATTTTTAAGATTAAATATATATACACTACCGGTCAAAAGTTTGGGATCAGAAAGACTTGTAATGTTTTTTTTAAAGAAGTCTCTTCTGCTCATCAAGACTGCATTTATTTGATCAAAAATACAGAAAAAAAACACTAGTCTTGCAAAATGTTATTACAATATAAAATAATGGTTTCTATTTTAATATCTTTTAAAATGTAATTTATTGCTGTGATCAAAGCTGAATTTTCATCATCATCACTCCAGTATAAAGCGTCACATGATCCTTCAGAAGTCATTCTGATATGCTGATTTATTATTAGAATTATTAATGTTGGCAACCGTTGTGCTGCCAAATATTATTTTTTATATATATCAAAATATAAATCTTTTCTACCAATATAAATCTTTGCTATCACTTCTTATCAATTTAACACATCCTTGCTGAATAAAAGTTTTAATTTCTTTCAAAAAAAGAAAGAATAAAAATGTACTGACCCCAAACTTTTGAACTGCAGTGTATAATGTAAGAAAAGATTTATATTTTGAATAAATGCTCTTCTTTTAAACATTTATTCATCAAAGAATCCTGAAAAAAGTATCACAGGTCCAAAAAAATATTAAGCAGCACAACAGTTTCCAGCACTGATAATAAATCAGCATATTAGAATGATTTCTGAAGATCATGTGACACTGAAGACTGGAGTAATGATGCTGAAAATTCAGCTTTGATCACAGGAATAAATTACATTTTAAAGTGTATTAAAATAGAAAATTTTATTTTACATCATAATAATATTTCACAATATTACTTTTTTCCTGTATTTTTTATCAAATAAATGCAGCCTTGATGAGCATAGGAAACTCCTGTAAAAAAACATTTAAAATCGTTCTGATCCCAAACTTTTGACCGGTAGTGTAAATGTATATGTAAATGTAATGTATAAACCTTTTTTTAAATGTTTATTTTATGTTTAAATATAAAACATATTTTCTTAACTTTCTTCACCTTGCTTTCTCTCATTTAAAAAAATAAAAAATAAAAAAACATATATGACGCAGGACCATATTTGGCCGAGATACAATTATTTGAAAATCTGGAATCTGAGGGTGCAAAAAAATCTAAATATTGAGAAAATTGCCTTTAAAGTTGTCCACATGAAGTTCTTAGCAATGCATATTACTAATCAAAAATTAAGTTTGAATATATTTACAGTAGGAAATGTACAAAATATCTTCATGGAACATGATCTTTACTTAATATCCTAATGATTTTTGGCATAAAAGAAAAATTTATAATTTTGACCCATACAATGTTTTTTTGGCTATTGCTACAAATATACCCCAGCGACTTAAGACTGCTTTGTGGTACAGGGTCACATGTTTGCCTGAAGTATTCAGATCTATAAAATTAAATAGATTTAAATAGATTAAATAGCTCCCCCTTAATAGACAAATATGATAGTTCTGAAGAAAATTGTAAAAAAAAATAATAATAATACTATTATCATCAGTGGGCATTAAATGTATCCTAAATTGTAGAATGGCTCAGGAGCAAGAGTAATATTGATGCTTGACTAAGCAAACACCATCATGATGGATATCTGTTTTCTCAGGAAGCCAATTTCAGTGATATCTGTCAGGCGGTTGGGATTGTTTTATGTGTGGTATTCTAAAAAAAAATGCATATAACAGCTCTAAATCCAGACATGCGTTTGTGAGAATGTTCCAGTGCTGATACTGTTTTCATTCTTCAGGCAGTTGTTCAGAATAGATGGAGTCAAGGGTGTCTTCTTCGGTCCCGACTTCATAACCATTACTAAGGTAAAGAACTGCCATTTTTTTTAACAGTATTTTAATGTAACTTAATTTTTTAAAGAATTGTATCTCTTTATCCTTCAGGCTGATGGTCAAACAGAGTGGAGAGTGATCAAACCGGATGTCTTCGCCACCATTATGGACTTCTTCACCTCTGGACTTCCTGTTGTCAACGAGGCAGATGCTCCACGTGCCGACACGGGTTAAACATTACTTTGCCTTCTTTACTTCTCATCTTGACATCCTCACTAAATCCAAGATCATTAAATATGTTGTGCATGCCCTACGTCTGCAGCTCCTTCTGAGGATGACGATGAGGTGGTGGCCATGATTAAAGAACTGCTGGACACACGCATAAGGTACCGCAGTAAATTACTCTACTTACGTTTAATGCAGCCTTCAAATGAACTTTTTTTTATTTTTTATATGGCATACAAATTTAGCAGGTCATATATGTTCTCATATCTCAAAAAGTGAGCATCCCAAATGAAGCACAACAACAGAAATGATTGATTTGTGACACTCTACACCAGGGGTGCCCAACCCTGCTCCTGGCGATGGACTGTCCTGCAAAGTTCAGCTCCAACCCTAATCAAACACACCTGAAGCAACTAATTAGGGTCTTCAGGATCACTTAAAAATTAAAGGCAGGTGTCTTTGATTAGAGTTGGAGCTAAACTTTGCAGGACAGTCGATCACCAGGAGTAGGGTTGGGCACCCCTGCTCTACACAAACAGCAACTTGCATTAAGCATAAATATATACATAGTATCACATACAAATATTGGGTAAATGGTCTGTTTTTAACCATTTGAATATTGAACTGAATCTGAACCACGTAAATGATTGATTTGTGACGCTCAACACGCATCATGATCATGTTGACTCGGCATTTGTCAGGTCTTGGATTGTCTGAGGAGTGACATAATGCCAGTGTGAAGTCGTAATCATAATCTTGATTATTTCTTAATTCAGCAGCTTCCTTTCTCTATTTGCATGTGTACTACAGGCCCACAGTGCAGGAGGATGGTGGTGACGTGTTGTATCGGGGTTTCGAGGACGGTATTGTAAAGCTGAAGCTGCAGGGTTCCTGCACCAGCTGTCCCAGCTCCATCATCACGCTGAAGAGCGGCATCCAGAACATGCTGCAGTTCTACGTTCCCGAGGTGGAAGGAGTCGAGCAGGTGAGGATAGTCTGCTCAGAAATGAGAGTGAGCAATGATCACACGATTCTCAAGTTGTTCCCAACCTGTATGACTTTCTTTCTTCTGTGGAACATGAAAGAAGGTATTTTGAAGAACGTGGGTAACCAAAGAGTTTTGGTTCTCATAGACTCCCATTGTACTTTTTGGCCATACAATGGATGTCAATAGGAACCAAAGCTGGTTGGTAACCAACATTCTTCAAAATATCATTTCACGTTTCACAGAAGAAAGTTGGGATGCACCGATACCACGCTCCTGTACTCATACTCGTAAAAATGCCCCGATACCAAAAGCCGATACCACACACACCGTGTGAACAGAGCTGTGTACAGAAAAAGAAACACTGACAACAGAACAACAGAGAGTAGAATTAGAGATTAAGGATGTCTATGAAGTACATGTAAGTAATTAATATAATGTTAAACATTCAATATTCACGCCTGTATAGTGGATGTGCGTGAGCTGATAAGGAGAGCGCACTGAGTGGATTGAACACGTGGCTGCACAGATGCGCAAGCTTGTCGAGTGAATATCTCAGACATCACTGGAAAGTTTGTAGTTCGGTGGTAGCGCGAGTAGTTCTCCCTCGCGAGCGAGAGAGAGAGCGCACACCTCTGTGCCGCTTCAAAAGTGAAACTAGCAGACTGTGTGAAATGCGCTAGGCCAGTGGTTCCCAAACGTTTTGCAGCGTACACCCCTTTCTAGTTTTTGACACATGTCAAGCACCCGCACCACCGTACTCCGGTTAAACACCACATTTTTTACTGCAATACAAGTATAAATACAAGTATTCACTGTATACAGAGCTCGGCATTAACTCTTTTGCTCACCAGCCAGTGGCTAGTGGTTTTCCAAAATTACTAGCCACTCAGCATTTTCACTGGCCACAATTTTGTTGCTGGAAAATTACATTTTATATGACTAAAGTTACTGCATATTAAAATAATTATTTTTTTTGCCTATTAAAAGGCAAATTTCCCCCTAACCTTATTAAATGCATGTCATCTTTCATATCAAATTCTTACATTTTATTAATAATTACACTTAATATAATAAGACTCTATAGGGCTGTTACCAATCAAATTTTCCACTGCTGGAGAAACAGAAGCAGCTAAAGTGGCATTTAGATGCGTTTACACAGACAATTTAATGAAGCTGAAATGTAGCATGAATGCATTAACACTGCAAAATTACAACAGCATAAGTAATGCTGTGAGTTTGGTGTTTTACATCAGGTTTTTTTATTTACAAATATGAAAAGTTGTAAAAAATACAAAAAAAAGTTACGTTTAAATTTGAAAGTAACCCGCCAGCAGGTTGCAGCAAGTTGACTGTCTTAATGAGTGAGTCATTGAGGCATTCAAACGATTCGTTCAGACGGCTGATTCATTCAAGAATGAAGCAAGCGCCTGTCTTTATGAATGGACCACTGAATCATTGACTCAAATTATTAATTAAAAAATGCGAATCATTCAGTAGCCTAACCAAACACCGCTGACGCGGTGTGTTGCTCAGAGATGCGCGACAGTTCTGCTGCTAAGTTTGTTTGGAACTATTTTCGTTAAACAAATCGAGCAAAAACATTGACATTATTGTACTAAAATATATGCCCTAAGTCACTTAATATTAACTACTCGTTTGAAGTCTTGTTTAAAATCAATGTCGAATTTACAATCGTACTGATTTTCGGGGAAAACGGCACTCTCTTAGTTGTCATGTTAATTAATTAGGCTAGGCTGTAGGTATGTATTGAATATAAAAACTAATTTTTTTTTACTGTAGTATGTTTCTTCTGTGTGCTGTTGTTTGTTTTGATTTCTCCATGAGATTGTCTCACGTGAGTCTCAACTGCCGTGACCTTGTTACTATTGATTATCCATTATGAATTGCCGTTTACACAAAGTGTAATAAAATCAGAATCATTCTCGCCGAAATTTTGGTGCTTTCCTAATTCAATGTTTTATTAAGATTAGATTAGTTGTCCGGTTGGGCAAGTAAAATTCTCTTTCTATAAGTGTCTCTCTCATTCTGCACCAATGCAAACGTGCGCGTGGTGCGCATGTTTAGCTTGCTTTAGAATTATGGTTTTTATTCGTACGCGAGGGTCCGCATACAGTGTGCATGACGCAAATTACATCACCAAAATAGTACGAGCGTACTCGTATAACGAGTGGTTCCCTGCATTATTTTAGGAAAATGTTTTATGATTACAGTATTGAGTTGCTGCAATGGAGCAGCTCTAATGTGCCATTAAAATGAACAGTGAAAGTAACAAAAGCTTATACAATACATTTTTACGGGTATAATTAAGTGTGGAGATAACTGAAGGAAATATTTGTTTGTTAAATGAAGCCAACTAACATGACTGTTGTTCTTATTATTGTTATTTTGTCTCCGTACCCAATATTTGTACAAAATGATAAATGCTGCGAAAATACAGGTATCGGTATCGGCGAGTACCAAAAATTAAAGTATCGGTATCGGACTCGTTCTGAAAAAAGTGGTATCAGTGCATCCTTAGAAGAAAGTCATGCAAGTTTGGAATGACATGAAGGCGAGTAAATGACAGAATTCTAATTTTTGGGATATTAATTTTATTACAATGCCATCCCTCTATGGTTTTGTCAGAAGATGCACTCAGCAGTAAGGTATAAAGTGTTTCTGTGCTAATATTCTGTGCCTTTAATCTTGCAGGTAAAGGAAGAGGATGTGGATGTCCTTTCTTCATAATAAATTACCCAGCACCCCTCTTTCCCATCAACGTCCATTCATGTAGAAGGAGTCTTGAGTTTAGTAGAGACTACTTAGTTACACAGCTGTAAGGAAAATGGACAAAACTGTGTGTCCTCACACTCCTTTAAACATATATTAGCTACAGACATTGATATTAAGACATCAGGTGTGCAGGAAATGTTTTTAGCCTGCACTTTTGTGTAGACAATGTTTGGTCGGTGCTGTAACAGGTTTGGGTTGGTCATCCATAATATTTTATAGATTAGCACTCGTTGCACTGGTTAAAACAAAAAGCAGAATTTCATGTATGTGTGAATAAGTTGCAATATGCATTTTCCCAGATGCATGTAAATATCATCTTTAGAAATCTCCTGGTTTAATGGATTTTCAGGAATCTTGATTGTATCAGAGCAAAGCATCTGCTAAATGAATAAATATAACTGAATTATATTAAAAGGACTTCAAATATGTTGAAATACGTTTTGATTCATGAAAGACGTTTTGATTGGTGGCTATTCAAAATGGCCCTTTAAGTATTCAAAATATATATATTTTTATTTACAGAAGGAAATGTTACATGTAGAAATTATTTGGTCTGTGGCTAGCCTCTTCTAAAGGATCAAATGCATAAATATTAATGATAAAAAACATGAATGATAAATGTTTAAAAATGTTACAGTTCTGGTTTTGGCTTCTGATTGGTCAATACAGTGTTCCAGTGACTATAATGTGAACAGCTGTTCACCAAATCACTGCATAGCTCCCATAGGGGATTATTGATTTTGTTGCATAGCAACATTTTGATAAGTTAGAAACTATATCCTCTAGAGGAGGGATAACACTCGATAAGATTTCTGTTTAAGTGTTGTTGATCTTATTTAGCAATTGTTTTATACTTGTCTTTATTTTATTTGTAGCATACTTTTATCTAGGTGTCATATTCATTGTGTGGCTCACAAGCGGGATTGGACGAACCATTGTCCACTTTTTTTTTTTCTTTTTCCTTCCTTAACACCATAATGCATTCTGAAGAAGACCGGAATCATCTTATACAACTCCTTCTAACGAGAGAACAACTTAAGTGTTAATAATCCAAAAAGACTCCAGAGACAATGTTCTTTTTCAGACTCACAAACCTGAGTTTCTCCTCACATATCAATTGTACACAATATTGAAAGCATCCTCACCTTCTCAATCAGTGAGAAAACGGCAATAAAAATGTGACGTAATAACATGACTTGAGAATTACTGCCGGATCGAGTGAGATCAGGGCTGTGTTCAGCCACAAAAACGGTGCAAAACATTTTTTTAAACGGTTGTTGAACACCCTGTTCTGATGATGCAAGAGTTGCAACTATGGCAGCTGAGAACGTCAAAACATAACTAACCAGCATATGGAATATGCAATTACTAAATTATATTTAGACAGACTTAAAGAAGTTCCAGATCTACACTTGTGCTCTTATTATTTCAGTTAATGTAAATAAACATGTGCAAACAATATACTTGTTCTGTGAGTTTATTTTGATGTTAATTACATGGTGCGAGCTGTCTCTTTAATACCGAGTGGTTTATACACATGTTGCTGCTGATTGGGCTGACATGTATGACACACCCACCAAACAAGAGAAAACACATCTCAAACCCCGTTGCACACCGTTTCCAATAACTATTACTGTTTAATGTTTGTTAAAATGCCTGTAAAAGGCTATTCAGTAGCAGCTTCATACCAGCTTGCCTCACTTCAGGCCAATTATATGTGTTAAATGAACTGTATGTTGTTGTGAAATGTTCATTAGCTTTTGTAGTCAAGACTTTAAAGTATGTGCCTACAGAAACAGATTTCAACGATAAACCCACATGTTCACTGAAATTAAAAAGTGTGACAACTAACACAACACTTCAGATTTCTCTTTAAAGCAAAACAACAGATTTACAATAAAAGTGGAAATATCATCTTTATGTAATATTCTTCTGTATCATATTTATATATGTGTGTTTTAACTGAAATTAGCTTTAAAAAAAGGTCTATTATGGCTCTGTGAGTTTATTTTGATGTTAATTACATGGTGCGAGCTGTCTCTTTAATACCGAGTGGTTTATACACATGCTGCTGCTGATTGGGCTGACATGTATGACACACCCACCAAACAAGAGAAAACACATCTCCAACCCTGTTGCACACCGTTTCCAGGAAACATGTCGTTCAAACCGGAAACCGTAGCAAAACGGTGCACACCGGTTTGAGCTTGAACTTGCCCCAGCTTTCGTTATATTATTGCAGTTGTGTGTTTGTATCCCCAGGAGAGGGCGCTATAGAACGATACAAACAGCCGCAATGATCATTCTGGTCATTCAGAGACTGATTCTTTTGATGCTAATCACCATCTTGATTATTGACATTTGGATCCATGCACTGCACCTATAAAGGAAACACCGGGGCTAGTCACAGAAGGAAGGTCTGTTTCATAAATATTCATAACTATTACTGTTTAATGTTTGTTAAAATGCCTGTAAAAGGCTATTCAGTAGCAGCTTCATACCAGCTTGCCTCACTTCAGGCCAATTATGTGTGTTAAATGAACTGTATGTTGTTGTGAAATGTTCATTAGCTTTTGTAGTCAAGACTTTAAAGTATGTGCCTACAGAAACAGATTTCAACGATAAACCCAAATGTTCACTGAAATTAAAAAGTGTGACAACTAACACAACACTTCAGATTTCTCTTTAAAGCAAAACAACATATTTACAATAAAAGTGGAAATATCATCTTTATGTAATATTCTTCTGTATCATATTTATATATGTGTGTTTTAACTGAAATTAGCTTTAAAAAAAGGTCTATTATGGACACCGTTCTGTTCATCTCTGGAAAGTGTCTTTTTAAATAACATGAATGCATTTGTACTAACTGGGATAAAACAATGGCCTCTTAGCAACAACGGCATGTTTAGAGGAGGCACAGTGTATAATTTCTTCTTATAATGAAAACCTGAGCCCCATTTTTCACTGTTGCTATATTTCCGGATTGCCGAATATGACGACTGTCTAATTTAACACATGCTGAGCAAGAAAATATGCATGCTCAGCAAGAAATAACAGCATTTACAGGACATGCACGAGCTCTAAATATGATCTGGTGTAGTATGATATGCTCTTCATATTTTAAGGCATGTTTTATCCATTACATTATTGTAAATATTGTATAAAGATGTACATACTAGGTTCAAATCTATAATTATTTTGGCCCCAAAACAATTTTCAATCATATACTGCTTCACTGAAAACACCTGAAAGTCTGAAAAGTCATTTTTGCTCTAAAATACTAGTTTGAGAGATTTCACTTGTAATATAATCTGCATGTTTCCGCCCATAACTTAGTGTATACTGTATACTGCGTACATTACAATATGTAATTATAGTGTAAAATTTGAACCCAAATGAAGTATAGCTATTTTGTGAATACAGATTTAATTTAGCATGTAAAATGTTATAAATTGTTTTAATATGTATTCTAAGAAAAAAAAGTCACCCAACTTTATAGTATATTGATAACAGCTTTTCAAATATTTAGATGTTCATCACAAGTCTAGTTTAAAATACTTTAAATTATGAAAATTACACATTTACTCAAATTAACACAGGATGAGGGGAGCATGTGATGGTTGCATTATCTAGTTTATAAGTATATAAAGTTTTGTCTGATATCTGTGCCCAGTTGCAATAGACCCTTTAAGAAATCACTTTTAAAGGTATTTTGACTTTTTAAATATCTTCTCTTGTGTTCCACAACGAAAGTCATACAGGGTTGGAACGGCATTCTGGAATTTCTGTCATCAGTAGTGATTTATTGACATTATTGTCTTGGAATTTTGTCAACTGGGCAGCTTTTGCTAATTGATTTGTTTTTACATGTCGGTTATCCGATACTTTTTTACTCTTACTCAAGTAACTATTCAGACTATTAATTTTACTTTTACTTGAGTAAATATTTTCTATAAGTACTTTTACTTTTACTTGAGTACAGTTTTTGGGTACTATACCCACCTCTGACTACTGACAAATCTTAGGTGCTCACATACATCATGTTAAAAAAAGTACACTTACGTTAGTCTGTGTCATGGTTGCAAGGAGTAGTTGAGGCAAGGATCTTGCAGCTTTATTTTAAACACAAACATAATCCAAGAAGAATAATACAATCCAGTGGAAATACACGAACATAGCAGCTAGCAAAGGAATACACAATCATAACAGCTAGCAAAGGACATGCACAAACAATAACTGACAAAGTAGAACTTTAACATATTTGTTGAGAACAACAAATATTGGGCTATAATAGGGTTGCCAACTTCAGAAAAGGAAAATATGGGACAATCGCGTGAAGCCTACACACAAAGTTTTTTTAACTTAGGATGAAGTCAAGTAGTGTTGAAGGAGGTGAGTTTTCAGTTGTCGCTTGAAAATTGTCAAGGATTCAGCATTCCGGATAGGGGTGGGAAGATCATTCCACCAGCCAGGAATGGTGAATGAGAATGTTCTGGAAAGTGATTTTGAGCCTCTCTGTGATGGTACCACGAGGCGTCGCTCACTAGCGGATCTCAGACTTCTGGAGGGGATGTAGATTCGTAATAGTGAGTAGAAGTAGGCGGGTGCTGAGCCTGTGGCTGTTCTATATGCAAGCATCAGTGTCTTGAACTTGATGCGAGCCGCAAGCGGTAGCCAGTGTAAGGAGATAAGATATTTAACGACATTGCAATAGTGAAAGACGGCTTCCCTTATTGATCACGTCTCACGTATGTTGCATGTTTTCTTGCGTGGCTGGATGTTGGACTCATGAAAAATAATCACATTGTTTGTATTCACCAAAACTGATTTGCTGAAGTCAAAACAAGGATGGTGAAGGGAATTGGCATTAGCGTGGGCACCGATTGCTGTGAAGCGGGAGCGACCAGCCAGCGGAGGATTCCACAGCCTTCCTCGAACAGTTATGTTCACGATTTCTGATTTACTTAACGTGCACTGTCTGAGGGGTGGTTGTGATTGGATGATGACAGGTGTCGGTGGGTATTCTTAAGTGATCAGCACTGCTGCTGTTGTATCAGACAGTGGTTAGCATTCAAGAAAGGGACAAGGGAGGTCACGTACAGGACACATCAATTAAGCCCAATATACAGGACGTCCCAAGTAATACTGGACAATTGGCAACCCTAGGCTATGAATACACAGAACAAACAAGTAACTTAATTAGAAACAAGTGAGATAAATTTATAACTATAAAAACAAACAAGAAAATGCTTAGAAACCAAGACAGCCATGAAGGCAGTAAATAACTGTTGGATCCAAAGTATCAGAGGACTTAGGTGGAGCCAGTGGGACCGAGAACACTGGTGGAGCCAAAATATCAGAGGGCTGAGGTGGATCCAGTTGAACCAAGAACACTATTGGAACCAAGGGATTGGAGGACTAAGGTGGATCCAGTGGGACCGATTACACTGGTGGAGACAAGGTATTGGAGGACTGAGGTGGAGCCAGTGGGACCGAGAACACTGGTGGAGCCAAAGTATCAGAGGGCTGAGGTGGATCCAGTTGAACCAAGAACACTATTGGAACCAAGGGATTGGAGGACTAAGGTGGATCCAGTGGG